TCCCCCCCAATGCAAAGAAAAGGATTTACAGGAAATCCTTTACTGACTGGTTGCTTAATGGCTGTTCAAGTTCTGATGGCACCCCAAAAGTGCAGTTCACTCCTTTGCCTCAAATTACAATCACCATGAGGCCTCTGCAATTATGTGACATTCATTCAGTCACATCAAAGGCAGCAGTGGGCATTTTGGGTCAGTCTTGATGAGCAATTTTCAAGGCCCATGTGATCACGTGTGTCAGCCTTTTTTTTTTTTTTACAGAATTGTAAGAAGACATGCTAGTCTGTGAAGAAAATGCATTGCCATTTTTAATCTCATGAGCTAGGCTGAAGCCTGAGAATTGTACGTAGGAGCTAGGATCAGAGGCCTCTGCTATGCTAGAAATTGGCCTTAACTAAAATTTGCTGATATGATAGTTTTACTCTAAGAGCTGTGATGGTGAACCTATGGCACACGTGTCACAGGTGGCACGTGTAGCCATATCAGTGGGCACGCCAGCTCAGCTCTGGCGCGCATGCGCGCATCGGCCAGCTGATTTTTGGCCCTTCTAGGCCCATCAGAAATAGGAAAACAGGCTGTTTCCTGCCTCCGGAGTGCCTGGCAGGGGGGGAAGGCCCGTTTTTCTTTCTCACCTGGCTCCAGATCCTCTCTATGCATCTGGGGAGGGCGAAAACAGCCTTCCCCACCCCCTTGGAGGCCAGAAACGGCCCGTTTCCCAATTTCCGGTTGGACAGGAAGTGACTTTTTTGCTGTCCCCAGCCTCCAGAGCCTCTCTAGGATGTCAGCCGGTCAACCAATCAGAATATGAAGTATTTTCCCACTTCAACAGGGGACCCGAGTGAGAACTTCAACTACTCATTTCAACATATAACAAAAACTCTCCAAGACAGGTCCGGAATGAATAATCCAAATCTTAAGTCCAAAAGCAGCTGATGAAGCATGGAAACGAAGAGGAAGCACAGAAAATTGGTTGTCTCTGGCATCTACTCCCTCCCATATGCCTGGCTAAGTAATCTACAACCCGGTGTTAACATTAGGAGGGATGAGGCTGCTGTCTCTCCATTTTGTGTCTCCAGATTGGGTGGGAGTGGCAGCTGTTCCTCATTGAGGCAGCCCTGTTGTCGTCAGTGTTAACCAGTGCCAGCCAGTTAACAAGTGGCTGTTCATCTGGTCAATCATGCCCCTCCCCCACAGTGCCTGATGGACTTGAAATAGCATCTTTATTACTGCTACCTTTATTCTGTTTCTGATGTGAATTCTGGCCTTTCACTGATCTCGCTGCTCACAGTGCCAAAATGTAATGGAACAATCAACTTAGACTATTTTTTTGTTTTTCAAAAAACATTTTAAAACAATTTTAATTAAATGACCAAAATTAACTAGAATAAGATATATATTTTACCGGCAATGTGTAAAAAGCTGGCATTGTATAGAATGCCTAGGAAATCTACAGAATGTGACATTTTGGGGCTAAGTATGAAATGTCTGTTACTTTTTTAATATGCTATATATTTTCCCTATGCATTGTATATAATACCTAGACATTATGCAGAATGACAAGAACTACTTAGGCAAAGTATGAAATGAGAGTCATGGAAAAGGCCTTTATTGAAAAGACGTATATGAGCATGAAAAAAGAAATAAAGTACAGTCCTTTCTTACTGAAAAAAAGATCAGGCAACAGGGGATTTTCAGCATTTTCAGTGTTGGGCAAGTGCTTCAGAGTCTTCCCATGTGATATTTAGAATCTTAAGCCTTACATGAATGTTTTTCACCATGTATTTCGAGGGCAATCTCTTTGGCATTTGGCATTGGGTAGGGGTCGAATTGCCATCTTGGGGATTCAATTGTTCTCCACGTAGCGAATATGACCTACCAGTTTGGAGTCTTCTGGGTGTGACAATGTTACGTAGTTTGCAGGAGAAACAAATTCATCACAAAGTTTTTAAAACTCTTTGGTTTTTTTCTGGCATAGCTCACATAGGAGAATGTGAAGTTCAGTTAGCATGACAAATAATATTCTTGTGCTTGCATGAAAGTTCTTTCAACATTCTGTCATGTCCTCCATGGCCAATGGTCAAATGTCTGTGAAGTACAACTGGGGCACTTGATGCTTTCTCTAATAGGATAGATCAACTTTTGTTTTCTACCACATATCAGTGATTCAGCCAATAGCCTCATGGTTCCTTCTTAGGTTTACTAACGTTAGGTTACTAAGTAACCTTTTGTAGCATTGGTTCGCACTTTAGATAGTTTTTAGAATTGTCGTTGCATGTCAACATGCTGTGATTCTTGCCTGGACACTACAATTGCTCCGCCATTCTCATACATGGTATAGGCTATAATCTACGCAAATTGAAAGTCATGTGTTCACCGCCAAACAAAGAGTGAAATGCAAATGGCAGAAATAGTCAATATTCTATGGTTGAGATGAGCGTTGAATATCGTGTGCCTCACCGCATGACAATAAAAACATCAATAGCAGGAGTAGTTTATATTTTGCTGATTTGCTTTTTGACATTGTATAGAAATGCCCAGGAAAGGAAAATATATAAAATATTTTATCCACTTAGCTTTCGTTAGCCTCTGCTGACATTGTCAGAGTATAAAAACGACCATTGAAGATATTCACCTTTATGCATCATTGATCAATTTGGCCATTGCGCATATGATAGGCCCATCCACCCACCTCCCACCTATAATTACTCTGTCATTTTTACTTCAGACAAGTTAATTGATGGAGGCTTAGCTCCTGTTGCTTCCTCCCCTATTGCACACTGCTTGGGCTGCCCATCCCCAGGGAATGATGCTGAGCTGTCACATATTGCCTTGGCGGCATTCTCTCCGGCTCCTTCCCACACACCACTGCTCCTCTGCCTCACAGGCACATTTGATAAATCAACCAAATTCGTTCGTTGTTTTGCCTGTGATCTTGTAACCAGCCTTGTTCGTTTTTCATTCTCCATGTCCATTATGGCTTAAAGCTGCTCTGCCGGGCTCCTCGGGATTCGGCCCGGGCTGGCTATGCCTGCACAGGACAAATCTACATGCCCAAAAACGGGGGGGGGGGGGTGTTTGCCATCAGTTGTCTGCTCCCTGATAGAAATCGGTCTCTGTTCATCCTACGGGATCTTTCCTGGTGCCTCAATGCTTGGTAAACTGGTAGCAGGTCGATGTGCCTATTGATGGAGTTATTGTTGGAAAACCAGGCTTCTTTCAATAGGCGTCCTCCTTTAGTTCCATCGCAGGAAATAACTTCAACCTCTTGAAAATTGAATCTGTGATTGTGTTCTTGCATATGTGTCCAGATCTGGGAGTGCTGTTCTTTGCGCCGGACAGCCAGTTCATGTTCATGCACTCTATAGTCTGTAGCCGCTTAGCCATTTCTCCTACATAATTTGGTTGCAGTTACTGCAGTTAATACGGTAAACCACCGAGGATGCCTCTTTGGGTAATGTTTCTTTTGGGTGCATCACTCTCATTCTCAGAGTTTGATCTGGTGTGTGCGCAACCTTAACCCCATGCACTGAAAGAATGTGTGTGGCAGTTTCGGATACCCCCCGTACATATGGGAGCACTGTCCATGCAGATATTCCTCTTGTACCTTCAATGGGCTGTCAGGCCCTAGGTGTAATACACCGTCGGATAAACCATTGAGTGTACAGATCTGATAGAGATGTGCCCGCTTCTTCGTTTTGGCCGTCAGTGTGCTGCAATGGGTGTCTACCCTATTGAACGATGCCCGAATGCAGCTAACTTTATTTGTGGTGGGGTGGTTGTTCTCGTGTAAAATGCAGTCCGTGCTTGAGATTTTTCAATACACACCTGTGTCAAGACTCCCATTGTGATTACGGCTGACTCGCACATCCAGAAAGGCCAGCATGTTATTGGCCTCTGTAAATTGAATATCTGGGTATATGGAATTAAGGATTCTTATAAACCTGGTCTTTGTAATTGACGTAATGTGCCCAAAACTTGGGCTTGTAGATTTTCATTGCCTCGTATTCCAATCTCTGGAGGACAGCCTTTGCGATCACTCCTATGGCCTTCAAATGTAAAATACATCTTAAGGCAGAAATTCAATAAGTGGAGGAGATCATCCATACTGAGGGATTTATAATATGCAATTCCACAATGAGTGGAATTGTTCTGATCCAAGTCCTACACGCAGAAGGTACAGTAGAGTATATTTATTGCACCACTCTTAACTTGTTACAGCAGTATTCCCCTAAACCCCGAAGTCACCAACCCTTCCCAAGCAATAAGAAGTTCAGGGAATCCGTCCAGGCACAAAGCTTGAAGCAGTAAATTCCCAAGTAAACTCACCACACAAGGAAAACTCGCAGAAGCAGGTCTGGAATGAATAGTCCAAGTCTAAATCCAAGTCTTAAGTCCAAAAGCAGCTGATGAAGCATGGAAATGAAGAGGATGCACAGGAAACTGGTTGTCTCTGGCAACTACTCCCTCCCATATGCCTGGCTAAGTAATCCACACCCGGTGTTCACATTAGGAGGGATGAGGCTGCTGTCTCTCCACTTTGTGTCTGCAGATTGGGTGGAAGTGGCAGCTGTTCCTCATTGAGGCAGCCCTGTTGCCGTCAGTGTTAATCAGTGCCAGCCAGTTAACAAGTGGCTGTTCATCCGGTCAATCATACCCTTCCCCCACAGTGCCTGATGGACTTGGAATAGCATCTTTATTGAATCCTAGAGGTAGCACACGGAGGCCTGTTGCTTCTAACAAGTCATTTATTAACACAACGTTATAACAAGGAACACTCTGGTAACAGAACAGAACAACACCCTCCTGACAGGAGCTTAAATAGTCGCTGTCAGATACATATTAACCAATCCGCCCTCTGGTAACTTCCCACTCTTGCTGTTGCTAGCGGCTGGGCCAATCAGCACCTTCCTGTAAGGGGAAAGCCCTGATGAGGGCTGTAAGTTGAAAGATTCAACAATCTTTATTACTGCTACCTTTATTCTGTTTCTGATGTGAATTCTGGCCTTTCACTGAACCTTCACTGAAAGTTGACTACTCAAGGGATTGAAGGAAAATGGTCAACATACACAGAGGTAGTCAACATATGGAACAACTGCACTGGTACGTATACGTGCTTTGTTTTGTACAGATTTTATTAGAGAATGGCATACAGAAACACACATCATGAAAACACAGGAAAATCTACAACACTAGGTGGCAGACAGAGATCATCCAATTCCATATCAGGATGTTTAAAAAGAAATTTTTGCTCTTTGTAGGGGGGAAAAATAACAATTTTAAAAAATGGTGAGGGATTTATTTCATAGTTTTAAAAAATGCAAGGAATGTGTCTGGAGCTGTAAAATACTTGACCGGCTACTACTATTTAAAAAAATGACTGACTAATGAAAGTCATGCTTAATATTTTCCATGGCAAAACTTTATGCTAAACCAAACTGGTGTAAGTTTCAAATACAACTTCGGGTATGTTGGAGTAAATTTGGACATTAGTTAATTAAACTTTAATCCAGTCACTTTCCTGAAGTTTTTCCAACAATTTGTTAAATTGCAAATTACAAAATAATATAGGTATAGCAGATTTATTTATATTGGCCTAAGGGTGAATTCAATATGGATCCAACATTTCCAGTTCATAATCTGAAGCCAGTTGAGAATTTGAAACAAACATGGTTCTAAGAAGTCAAATATTTGGATTTTTGTGGCTTTATCTGATATTGCTCCAGATGTTTCAGTTAAACATTTATCTACTTTCTCAAATGTTTTATCCTGTGCAGCCATTGCAAAGAACCGGTCAGCATGCTTCCCTGTAGCAAACCATACCTCTGCTTCCTCCATGTACTTTATCTTCCCTGGAACTCCACAAAATATATACGGTTATGGAGTAGGTTCCTGGTGATGTTTGTTAAATTGAAATCTTTAGTCATGTCATATACCTTCTGCGTCCGAATGCTAAGATTGATAGTATCATATGCCCCCCTAAGGTCTATACAATCCTGGCCAAAAGGTTTGAGAATGACACAGATTAATTCTCACAAAGTCTGCTGCTCCAGTGTTGGAAGATCTTCATGCAGATGTTATGATATAATGAAGTATATAAGTACAAGCATTTGCATAAGTGTCAAAGGCTTTTATTGACAACTAGCTGATAACTCGGTGTTGCCCGGGTATTTATTTATCCCAATGGTGTATTAGATAGGAAGAGCAACTATACCCTGACCCCTGATTTCAGTGAGAATTGAATTAGTTATTCCAGAGAATAAATCATCTGTGTACCAAGTTTGGTTGAAATTGCTCAAGGCGTTCCAGAGTTATGCTAGAACACACACACAGCCATTTATTTTTATGTATATGGGACAGGTAGTCCAGTAGGTCAGAGCTCAGACCCTCCTGGAACTGATACACAAGGGCATCCTTGTTCCATCACAAGTCCTGGTTTGTCAGTCAGAAATCACTGATACAGTCCTTAACTGGCTGTCTCCCCTGCTTTTAACTCAAGCAAATGGCAGTTTGTTGTCTGGGCTTTCACAAGGTCCTTGAATGTAGCCTTCAATTGGGTACAAACCCTGCATAATCCAGTAGTAGACTTCACTGTGTGATTAGTGTGGTTGCCCACTGGGCTGCCGGGCCAGTCAGTTCTGTTGCCAGAAGTGGAGAGACAGCCTTACATACACTCCCTCCCCTTTCCACTTTTGTCGTTCTTCAATTACAACTTTTAAAAACCAGGGAGTAAAATAAAAATAGGAATCTTGTTTTCAAGATAAATTCAATCTCGCCCAGACGATCTACCTCGCTTTTTTATTCTCTTTCTGTGTGGCCACCCCAGCTTTGAGACAGCTTCCAATGGCAGTCTTTCCAGTCGCTGGGTTGGAGGCTAGCTGGTGCTTCAGGGAATTTGCGGTTTCCCTGTTCACACCAGCCTGTGCCTCCGTTTTTCACTGTCCCTACGAGATGGCTCCGATCCTCTGTGGACCCCAAAAATGGCTGGAATATCAACGGTTCTCCAGAGCCCCGAAGTTCATCATGTCGCCGCGACGCTGGCCATGCCCTCTGCCGTTATGTATTATGTGCGCTGTACAACCAACACCAATAATGTTTTGATTAAGGTTTTTGTTTAATTTATAAAAAATATTATTTGTACCTCTTCTCGCTTTTCCCCCAAAATTTGCGTTCGTGTTGTCTGCACAATATGCAATCATTTTATGTTTTAAATTGTTTTTTTTCCAACATATTAATAATGGAACTGAAAATTATTTCAGAAGTTTCGCCGGGCAAAGAAACGAAATCTAAAATTCTAATTTTTATTCGTTTCTGAATCAAAAAATATATTGCTTAAAAACACAATAAGTAGGTACATAATTACATGAACATATTTTATTGTTAGTTTACAAATTAAATTAATTTGATTGTTATAAAGTAACTATATTTTAAAAATTATTTTAATTTTAATCCTATATTTCTTTCTAAATAATAACAATACTAACTTGTATTATTTTTCCTCTGAATTTGCCGTAACGTAAGTCGTAAGTGTCACTTTCAAGGCCGGCGCTAGACTTTTTGCCGCCACTATAAAATATAAATAATACAAGTACTGTCTGCTAAATTCAAGAAAATTTATGTATTTATGAAATAAATAAATAAATTACTTACCTAAATTATCTGAATAGCTGATTTGTAATGACATCACTTAAGTTTAACTAGCTTACTAGCACGCAGTATGATGTGTATTGTCTGAGAGACAGTTACAAAATGTTTTCGTCGTTGCCAATCCCAAAAAAATGCCATTGTTCATTAAGTCCAAACAATGGTGGTCAAATTCTAACAACTGATCAACAATGCGAACTTTGATAAGCAGTTCTCGGTAATCAGTTCTCAACAATTATTTGTTATTATTAAAGTTTAACATTATAAAATTAACAAAAAATAATATAAAACTCATATCCTGGCTAAATAGCCACATGGCCGCCGAAAACCGTATATTCCCTTCCCGTTCTCCCGCCGTTCCCTAGCTTGTGCATTCGTTCCAAAAATTGGGACTTTTTTAAAATGACGTGGGACGCGGGACAAATTGTTAAAAATCGGGACTGTCCCGCCAAAAGCGGGACGTCTGGTCACGTTGCCAAAGTCCCATCAAATTTATCTGACATAGGCACTGAGCCTCTCTGGGTGGGATTAAATAGGTAACGCCAATACCTGGCGAGTACCCTCACGGTGAGCGAGGCTGTCCCTTCATGAGTAACCTGGCTGACCAGCATTGTCCTTGTCACCTCTCCAATCTGCGCATCCTTGGATGGGGTGGGGTAGGTGTGTACTCCACCTCCTCTTTAACCGCAGGCAGCTGCTCCCATTCTTCACCTGAAGTCTTCAGGTTAACATGCTGCAGCAGCAGCAGCTCTCTACTCCAGTTCAATCTGCTACCTGTCCAGTAGTTCCGGCTGTGGCCGCTTCATCGAGCTGGAGTCCCCTGCTCCCTAATCCATGCATACATCCTCCCATCCTCACTTTCTCAGCGGTGCCAGGACCTGGCATATCCTCCTCAGAACTTATGTCTGTAGGGGAGGCTGGAGACATGTCCATGGCACATGGGGATTTTGCCTGGTTCTTATTTTGACCTTGATAGTTGACATAGCAGGCAGGTTTTACAGTATGAGGTCATCTGCTCACAGGTCCTGGATAAATTTCCCATTTAGGCGTTTCTATCTCTATGGGTTCTCCTAGATTTGTCCATCTTTCTTAAAGGTTTCTTTCCTTCACTTCTATTAAATCAGGATTAGTAGGTAGAAAGAAACCCAGGTTTTTTCTCTTCCTGTGTCTTCCCCATCCTCGTCTTTGCCTTAGATTGGGACTGTAGTTTCACAGTCTTAACTGTCACTATCTTAACCTCTTTCTTGATTCCTTTTCTCCGAGTCCAAGCTTCAGTTAGTGTTCTGATCTGAGACACGCACATGGGATCTGGTGTTAGTATAGTATGTTTTTTGCACAACTATACGTGAATCAAACAGTTCCCCTGACAGCCCCCAAACCTTTCCACCATTATGCTGGTAAAGTTCAGCCCCAATTTCCCCAAGGAATTTCCACTATCTGCGAGAGCAGAGTCCCAAGGAGAAGGTCCAATATATAGAAGATTAAGGCTTGTAAGTCCACAAGGCAAAACCAAAGTTCTAAGTCCACAGAGCAGGGTCTCAAATCCACCCAACAAGGTTTGAAAGCCACAAATCAAGAACAAAGTCTGAAATCCACAGGGAAAAGGTTAGAAATCCGCACGAAAAAAACAAGGTCCAAAATCCACAGAGCAAAGTCCAACATCTAGAAAATGTCATGAAGTTGAAGAGATGTGGCATTGCAAAAGCAAGCTGTCATATCCAACAAATGTACCTTCTCCCATGTTATGACCTAGGCTTCCTGAGGTAGTAAAAAGCACACAATTAGTCCCAAAAACCCTCTCTTTATTTCAACGGCTGTGAATTCTGTTCATTCCCAGCCTGTGATAAGTAACAAATAGTTTGTAAAGACTCCGACAGAAGTCTGCCACAGTCCTTCAGGATAAAGCTGAGAAGCGCACCCACCTTTATCTCCCTTGACACGCTGCCAAAGACCTTTGCAAGGCCACACAGAGCATAGAGTCGAAACGGAGCTTCAGAATTTAAACCGACCAGCACGAACAAAGTTGCCTTTGCTTTATGTCTTATGGGAGGGGCCAATTGTCTCCAAGCCTTACTCCTGAGTTGCCCCTTTCGTCTTAACTGTTCTTGCCTTCTGGCAGCTTTGCGCATGCGCACACTGGGAACATGCGCTCTCTGTTCTTCTGTCTTGCTGATGTCCAACTCTGGAGGCTCCGGAGTCAGCACATAACTCCCCGATGACTCTGGCCCCATCTCTGCCTCTGACACAGAGCCCTCATCTGAGCCTTCCCTAGACTCTAGAAATGGCCCATGTTCGTCCCCAGCCTCCTCACTGTCCAACTTTGATGCTAGCGGATCACAACATCCCATGCTTGGCTGAATCACCCCAAACCAGGTATTTCTCATTAGGGCGGAGGCTGCTTCCTCGCAAGTAGCCTTATTGACCTCCTCTGTGCTTCCCTAGGATTCTGCTTTGTCTGC